CTCTTTCTTTCTCTGTTGCTTTGAGACATACCTCTAATATGGGGACCTAATGTCGCAAGTCTGAAGAAAACAAAGAAAAGGAAACAGGTACTGGGGAAAAGTCCTGAAGTGGGCTGGAAAGTGTAAATTAAAAGCTTCTTTTCAGTGGAACTTTTTGAAGAAAGCAAAGTGAAAGGAAAAGGGAGCAAACAATTATCTTTCAAATATGGAGTAACCAGACCAGCTTCCTGATTTGTGTATGGAAAGGAGCTAGCTATTGCCTGTGCTTGTGCCTAGCCTAAATTTCAGAAGGGTTTTTTATTAAAAATAATTCAGGATATATTCTGTTCTCTATTCTACCACTACTTTCGGCATCAGTAGTGGCAGAATACAGGTGACTGACATGTTTAGTAGTTGAATTACTGTCTACAAAGAAGGCATTCTAAAAAGCAAAAGTAAGAAAGGTGACAAATCATCTTTTTGGAACTATGAGAGAAGAGAAACTTCAGGGGTGGGGAGAGGGTTGTAGAACTGAAGTACAAATTCAGATGACTGAATGCCATACAATTTCCACAAAACATCCTTTTATCTACTGAAGGTTTGCATCAGGATTCCACTCTACATTGCACTTGGCTTTATAGTAAAACACCTTAAAAACAAATGCCTACTAAAAAAAAAAATCTTCTTAAAACCAGCCATTTCAGAGAAGTAACAACTTTAGATTAAAAACAACAAAAAAAGCTGGAATCCATACTTCATAACTTTTTTTTCTCAATAGTTTCTTATTAATGAACATCCTGCCCTGGAGAGGGCACTCTATGACCACACTGTGTATTCTAGTATCCCTACTAACCACCTTTTAGTTGTAACCTGTGATCCTATGCCTGTGATCCTAACAGTTTGCTTAGCCAGTATACAGCTTAGGTCAAACGTAAATATATTAAGAAAGGGAACCATATGGTGCCATGTTCACCAGTTCAGCCTGACCGCATGTATCAAGTCCTACATCCAGCAACTATGTTTTATTATTAAAGATCATATATTATTTGATGGTTAAAAAGTCAAAATGTAGTAATTCTATAGTACTCTAATAACTGGTAAGTTATAGGTGTTGAAAGCTTTCTACTAACAGTGTTTCTCTCTCCATAGTAACAGCAACCACAATCTAAAAAAGTTCCTCTAGTATACTTTACTAATGTTGATACAGATGATACACTCACCTGAATAGTTCAAATTTCATTTCTAGAAATATAGAACCACTTTCTTTTCCAGATATTTCCTCCAAAAGTATATATTAAAAGTAACACTCATCACTCTGAATTCTAGTATACAAGATAAAACTATACAATAAAAATACATGGAAAACTCCCTGTGCTAGGTAAACTTTTAGACATACTTCAAGGCATAATTCAATGACTAACTGGCAATTCAAGGGAAAAAAAACTCTGTCCCTGTAATATGAATATTCCAAATACTCCATAATTATCCAGTTTTCTATGTACTGCCACCCCTCAGAGGCAGAATACTGAGGATGTGAACCACTGTTCTGACCCAGTCTAGCAAGTCCTACAGGCAAGTGTTTTCCGTAAGTGAAAAAATAACCCTAATAATACTAAAAGAATGACCTTTTTTAAAGCAAAATCTTTTAACAGCATAGTGCCTTGACCTCCTTCCTAACTAGGCTGTAAGAAAAATAAGGTAACTACATTTGTACTTAAACAGATTCAGCTTGCAGAACTTCCAAATTCATGATTTAATGGTTAAATTCACAGCTAAAATAACGCATGACTATGGTATGCTTAGATTAAATGCATAACCTTTGTTTTTAAACACTGTCTGGATATATACTGACACTACTGCAACAGAAGATCAATTCAGTAAAAGTACCTGCACGTTCAATACTAAATTTCTATGGTATCAGTCAAATAAAACTGTCAGCAAGGGCCAAAAGAAAAATAATAATAAAAAAATTTATCCTTTCACCACAGAAGAGGCCATCTGCGTGTCCGTAGTTTCAGTGAGATAGACTGAAGCCCAATTTGTGCAGGATTTGCAGATACTAAAGCTCAAAATTAAGATTTTCCATCTCACATTCAGGCCTGTTTAAACAGTAATGGGTTCAACAACTCCCAAGTTTCACAGATGATAACCAGTTCATCTTCCTATTATTACTTTAAGAAGCTTCATTTTTCTTATCCAGGTGCTACCCTAATCCTTTTTTCTCATCCCCCTCCATTAAAAGTTTCCAATTCCTTGGAGCACTTGCACACAGTATTCTCTCCTTGCTCTTAGATGCTTGTCCTCAACCCTTCTTCTAAGAACTTCTGTCAGATCCCACTGCAGTCTTGTCAGAGCTTCAGCTCTTGGCTCTAAGGCAGAAAAATATACCTTCTTACTATATCCTTGAAGTAAGGATCTTTTTTTTTTTTTTCTTTCCCCCCCATTTATTTCGAGCTGAGGAAGCTGTAGATTTCCTAACAGGTCCTGAGTTCCTGATCAGTCAAGAGGCACTTCATGCATTTACTTCAATAAAGCATCTGTAATAGAAGTTGCACACTACCAGCACAACACCTAATGAATATTTTTCCACCGTAGGAAGCTCTTATTCTGTTAAACAGCATGTTCTCAGAGAGCTATATAGATATGGTGTGTGGAAAAGTAATATTTGTCAAGTAACCTGAGAAAAGTATCTCATGGAATAGTTCATGGGTACCCATTAAAAACTTTACAATCAAAACTATTGATCCTTTGAAATCTTTAATTACTCTGAGGGGACTAAACTGTAAAGCTTAATAATGTAAATCTATATGGCTGAGAGGAATTCATGGCTGCTCATATATAATACCATCAATACTGACTGATAAATTCACCCATACTGACATTATTAAAAAATGAGTGGCATCATCATTCTGGAAACCAACAGAGAGGTGGGTTGGTTTGGAGATCAGACACCAGCTCACCGTAGCGTACGCTTCTCCTCATATTCTATACTGCCTGTTTAACTGACTTAAAAACTTAAATTTTAAGACATCAAACTTTGACAACAATCTTGCACAGCTAGCAAATGAGATTAATTCTTCTTCAAAACATTGTAAGTCTATTCAATATCTATTTCTAGAGAAGATAATTATTTGATCATCACAAAAAAAGAATAATCTCAACAAGAGTGGGATTATTGAAACCATAGTATTAATGCACAGGATTTGTCATAACTTTGATGAAAATAAAGTGTGATAAGATAGTAATTCTTTCTAGTGTATTTTTGTACACCAGTGTGTAAATGCAGAAAACTAACTGCAGTTTTTTCTCACGGTATTGTTAATTCAACAACAATAAACAATTATATACTAGATTACATACACATTTCCCAAATAAATCAATTAGGACCACATTTTAGAGAACCTGTCTCTGGTAAAATCTCCCAATGTGATACAAAACTAGACAGATGACCTTCTGCCACGTGGCAGTTTTTAACAACTATGGCATATCTAGTTTCAAAAGTAATGAATGCCTCATTAGCTACCTTTACAAAGACAACAATTTGAGAACCACTGGCTTGACTCCACTAACCACTATTTCCATTCTCTTACCTGTTATCAAGGCAGAGTGATAATATCCACAGGATACAGAGGAAACAGGTTTTCCAACATCCACTTGACAAGGGACACTGACACAAGCTTCATCAGCCAAGCCAATCTGACCTTCCGAATTGTCACCCCACACAAAAAGCTGCCCATCCTCTACAATGAAGACATGGAGAGTTAACAGATTTAAACTCAAAACTACTAAAAAGTTAACCTACTCATTTAAGAGCATTTCATAAACTCTGTGTATGATACTACTAAATGTCATGATCTCAGGGACATAAAATGATATTTAGCACATGCAACAAAGCAGTCTGAAGTAAGAGGGTATCCCTTAAGTTTTTCAAAAGTGACACAAACCACTTAGTCATCAGCCGATGTTAGACTATAAATAGCAACAGGAAAAGTACTATGTAAAAATATCCCTTCAAAAACAGGAAGATTGAGCATCTAAGACAATTTAGTTGCCAGAGGTCAGTATGAAAATATGGTGCATTTAAGGCATCTTCTCATTTCAAGTAGCAAGTCACCACTTTCTCATTCTTCCAAAATTATTCTCTGTTCTGACTTTACGTACACATCCCACTTATTCTTGCCTTATCTTTCAGCTCTCTTCACAGGTGATTATATTGCCTAGCTTAATTTTGTTTTCCTTAAACTATCACAACAGCTGTTACAGGTTTATTAAGACCAGTCTCTGTTGACATAAAGACCAATGGCAGCAGTAAAAAAACAAAAAAAGGTAACGAACAACATGAAAAATCTCTAGATCTTTCTAGAAAAGATGAGATCTTCTCTCTGCACATTTCTTATTGGTGGGAAATTAGTTGTGAATAAAAGAACCATACCATCTACAGTGCTACTGAGATGCTGTTGGGAACTAAAATAATTCAAAGTTGACTTACAAATCTCAGGAGAATGTTAGCAATTGTCACAAAAAAATACAAACCAAATGAGCAGGCTAGCATCTCTCTCACACACTCTTACGCTGTCACATTCTGAAATGACAGTCTCACTAACTTATCCCACACATGTACAGAAACAGTTGCTTTATACCAAAACTTGAGAAATTACATTATAAGGTAATAAAGGACCACCCATCCAAAGGCTGAAAGTATTATACCTGTGTGGACTTCAACACATCGCAATGGTGTAATTTTGCCATCAGAGAAACAGGTGATAGGTTAGGCCTCTCTCAGAATTAACAATGATACAGCTCTGTAGCCTGTACCAGTAGACCAAAATAGTTGCAGTAAGAAGTGGAATTAGAGAAGCTTAGTTTCCACAAGATTCATCTTTTGCAGCTGGCTTCCCTGGACATGAACTGAAGATTTTTCCCATTTTGAAGGTATTCATACCATCCGTCCTTTGTAAGGATTCCTACTAAACTAGTACAGGTTGAGCTCCTGTTGCAGGCCATCACTCATGGAAAAGGTCTACTTTCACAAAAATTGTAGGAAGTTAATGAGACTGCTGCCCCTTACCAGATTGTGTTGAAATAGGCAATTGGCTATTTTTTTTAGGGAAAGACGACAGGGAGGCACAGAAAATACACCCACATATGCAGACAGAATGCTGGAATAAATGTTCCCCTGGAACACCAGGCTAGACACACATAAATAAGATTTTATTAGCAGTTGCTCTTACCAGTTACTGCTGCTGAGGTGTATGATCCAGCTGCTAGCTGTTTGATTTTGTGCTGGTTGGTAAAAAAACTAATTAAATGAAACGTGGTCCTTTCCTCTGTGTCACCTAATCCCAACTGACCTTCATTGTTACCTCCTGCAGCATACACATTTCCTTTTTCTGCATACAGAAGAGCGCATGTAACACACAGAATGAAGACATTATCATCAGTGGTAAAATGTCAGAAAAACCAAAGCAAGTCATTTAATTTTTGATGGAAAAACATTACAGAAAAGTTGGGGTCTACTGCCCTGAAATATCCCTGAGCTGACATTAGCAGTTGCTATTGTAGCTAGCAAGGAGGCTTTCCTGCCCACGCTTGGATTAGAACTTTCTAAAGGCTTTACATGTACTTAGACTGACTGCGTTTCCCACCATTCTGGAGACTGATCTAAAAAGTAAATATAATTTGAAGTTCAGCAAGAGTTCTGAGAAAATGACTACTAGTAGCCCTGGCAGCCAGAAGAAGCTCCTTCCCCAAATAACGTGTATTTTAAGATAAAGCAGGAGGAAAATGGTGAATGATGTCACAAGTAAGAAAACTGAAGTCATATTAGTATGCAAATTAAAGAGATGAGTAACTCAGTAGTTTTGAGTACTCTGAATGAAATATTTTTGCTTAGGTTTTTCTTAGAAATATTTTGCTCATTTTAATATTTAAATCACTTTTTATTTAATTAACTAGATCTTTATTTTGGTTTAGAATCTTAAAATTGAAGTTAAAGCTGATGACTGATATCTTCAAGAGAATTTTAAGATTTATATTTTTAATTTTATTGTGTTTCACATCTAAAGTGATCATCTATGATGAAAAAGATAAGCCTCATTAATAACACAAATCAGACACAAATGCGATAAGCAACTGACATACAATTTATAAATGATCCTTGCTATATAAATGTCCACAAATCATCTAGCCAGCGTGTACACTAACAGTGACTAATATTTACCCTGTGCAGTCCTGCATACTCAACTGTTATTAAAATGTTCTGTTTTATTCTAATAGTCTTATTTACAGTGCTCAGGGTCTCCACACGTATAAACTTCCTAATAATCAAACGATCCTCTTTATAAAATTACTGCAAGCTGAAGGATTGCAACCACAAAGATGGCTATTCCATTACATAAATTTTAGAAGCATGACAAGAATTTGCATCAAATCTCTGTATACTGTCTCTCTAAAAATTTATTTTTTTGTTTAAATTTATAGTTTATTTATTTATAGCCTAATAAAGCAACATGTCATTGAAATAGCAGACTATCTCATCTAATCAAAATGCAACAAAATATGAAGACCTGAAAACATTCAGTTCTACTATATTCACTCAAATATATAACTTCACACTAATAAAGATAAATTACTTGTCAAAAATAAATTTGAGTACAGATATATTAAAAATACTAATAATAGGGCTTAAATGAAATATTGATAATTGTTAACCACACCTCAAATGCCAGCAGGAGATTTTTTCATTTGTCTACTGCTAGCAAACACCTATATAACATTATTTTATAAATGTATTGGCTCAGAATAAATCAAGCATTCAAAGAACTGGATATTAAAAACCCAAGTTTTAACAGTCCCATTTTCATTTATTTTTCTTTCCTCAGCACTTCGGTGGTTCCTAATGTAATTCTGCATGAAAGCAAGGGAAGAAATCTATCTTTAATATGTATATAATATAGGTTACATACCTGTGTAAACTAAAGTGTGGTTTCTTCCACAAACAGCAAGTTTTGTTTTTTCTGGTTTTAAAGCTATGAATTAAAGCCAAAGGGAGGGGAAAAGTTATAAACAAGCTGATAGCTGGTTCAACAACAAAATGTTCTATGCTCTAGAGGGAGCTCTGATTTTTTTCATATTTGTACCAACAGAATGATTATGAAATTCGTTGCCCATTTGAACCTAACACATGACTTATTAAATCATGATTCCCCCAAGACAAGAAAACAGATATAGACCTTAAAAACTTACAGCTGACACTCAGGTTAACTTGATGATAGCTACTTCTTCCCAATGCCACATTCCGTAGAATTCACCATTTATGGGATATGCCTCAAAGAATATATCAAGTTCCAGGACACAATGCATGCTTAAAGCTGTCTTCAGTTTGCATTAACAGTACTATTCTTAACTCGCTCTTATGCTTTTCCCACTATCTTAAATCTTGAAAATCATACCGTTCTTTTGCCTTATCATCCCTATCTTCCTTCATTACGCACAGCTACCTTTTTTGCTAGATTTCTGCTCTGCACTGCCCTCTTACTGATCACTAAACTCAATTGCTGAGGACAGTCCTATCTGGACTAGTGCCTAAAATTTTTGCATATACCCTCCTGTCTCAATTTCAGCTCAATTACCACCCACTCATTGCACCTACTTCTCTGCAGTCTGGTCACTGTGAAAGACTGGGAACGTATGAGAGAGGAGTCAAGAGTTACTTTGGTGGGAAAGAGAGAATATAGAGGTGCCTTTTCTCCCATGACAAGTGCACTCCATTTCAGAAACAGACGAAAAAAATCTCACCAACTTTTCCATCCTCTCTCCAATTACTGATCGTTGCCAACAATTTTTCTTCTCCCAGCCATGTCCATGTGCCCTATACGATGCTCTTAAAACAGCATTATTTTTACATAATGTATCTTTAATGTCTTTTCCACTGCACTAGTCCCTGACAAAGCCAACAACCATCATTCCCTTTCACAAACCCCTTTCAGTCCTTCCAAATCAACTTTCATCAGCTCCGTAACATTCATATTAAAGTCCCTTCTACGATCTACCAAGTCACCAAATACATGTATCTACTTCAACATGAACTGTCCCTCGTCTATCACACAGACACAAACATAAATTGTCCAAATTCAGGATCCTGCCTGTCGTATCCAACACCTACCACTAACACAGGCTGGAACCATAACACTTCCAATGTTGGCTTTTTCCTGCAATCTTAATTTGCTGCTTTATATCCCAAAACTGTGCCTCCAATTTCAGAGATGATCTTAATCAGCTCTTCAGAAGCCTGTGCTCCCTAACCTTGTGCCACTTAGGCTAATCAACTGTATTTGATGAGCCATGCTATATTTACAACATTGCTGGCAATTTTTCATAACCATTTTCATTAGTCTCCAGTCAAGTCCCAGAATATATTTTCTCAGAAAACATGCAGCCGCAATCATTTGGCCCCAAGCAGAAACTGAAATGTGTCCTTGCAACTCCAATTCCCCGGGGCCAAGTGATGACTGAAAGCTAGTGAGAAAAGCTCCAGGACTTTCTCCTGCTTCCTACTCCCAAGAAAAGAAAGATACCCCCCTTGTGACTTTTTCAATGGATGCCAGGTCTGGTTTGTATTGCTGTCATCTTCTCTTCGTCTTTTATTCTCCATTGCAATTTCACAGTAAAAACAAAACTTGACACCCAATGCATTTAAGCCAAGGTAAGAATCAATCTCTCACATGGCTGACAGAAAATACGAACCTGAGAGTAGCTGCATTCTCCCTCTGAAGTGAAACAGAGAGAGGAGCAGATAAAGGACAGTAGAATAAACTAAATCAGGAAGAGTTTGAACAAGCAGGATAATTTGGTTTTAACAGTAGGCTAACAGATCGATCTGCTGGCAGAAAGGAAGAGGAGAAACATTTAATGGTGAAAAGAAATGCGTTAATGGGATAGATCTGACTTGACATAAGTAAGGGGATAGGGAAAAAGTATTGACTTAGTTCTGTTTGACAAGATAAAACCGGCTAGGAAAGATCAAGAAGATAACAGTGCAATGAAGACATATTTTACAACACATGAAAGAATATGGGCGTTTATTCTACTGTTTCATACAAATATATTAACATTTATGGCCCCTTGGGGCACAAATTTATACTTGCTAAAAATGTAGCAGTACTTGTAGAAAGTTCCTGACAGTTTTTTTCATTTATAAAGGCGCTAAGACAAAAGCAATACAAAAGGTTACACAACGCTGTTGGAACTTTGATTTCTAACACATAGATAACACTGCAGAGACCAAGCATCTGATTAATGTCTTTGCAGCCACAAGATGTGGTTTGTCAGAAAAGGCAAATATTACATAAAATGAGAGTCCTCAAAAAAAGATAGGATTTTATGTATCTGAAGTAATCTTCAGATGCAAAAGGACTCAGAACCTGGAACTGATGGAATATCAACCAGGGATCCTTTTAAGCTACCTTTATGAGCTTGTGCAGTAATAGGCTACACGTGATGAGTAAAGAAAGCAGAATCAGTTATTTTGGAACTGCATCTTATAAAGTACCTTTTCACAAAGGTCTCCTTTCAAAAAGACAAAAAAAAGAAAAATTAAACAAACCTTTAACACATGTCGGTTTGCTGACAGTGTTCTTTGATCCTAGTCCTAATTGGCCCCAGTTGTTACTGCCGAACATGTATAGTTTACCATTCCCTGAAAAAAAAAATGCGCACTCAGAGTTCATACAAGTGTCTGAATATCTCATTCAAGACAAGACGGTCATTCACACGCTATGCTATTTATTACTTCCTTTTTAATGTAAGGTTTAAGATTAGGCAATTCAATACTTACGTGTAAACAATAATGAACGTCCTTGTGATTTTTAAGTACAAAAGTAGTAATTGCATTGTTTAAGTAAGAAATCCCCAGCCAGAAGGGACAAAAAGCAGAACAAACATCCTCTCCTTTAATTAGAGCACAGATAAAGTGTTCTTCAGAAAATAAACTGTTGTACTCTTCGACAAACCCTGCAGTTAAGAAATCACAGCATCTATAGGCCTACTTATAAAATAACACATTTAACAGAGCACCCATTTTTTACCCCAAAGACAGAAATGAATAATGCAGCTATATAATTAATACAAACACAAATCTGTAATATTCAGCTTATTCCACTGTTTGGTGGAGGGGATATTTCTTCTACTGCTAAATGTCTTCTCTTAAAATGATGTATAAATTTGCACTTCTACAGAATATACTTTCTGATAAATTTTCAAATCTGTTTCTGCTAAATGTCTTCTCTTAAAATGATGTACAAATTTGCACTTCTACAGAATACACTTTCTGATAAATTTTCAAATCTGTTCACAACTTGTATTAATTTGTTACTCTGCATATAAAGAAGGAATGCATAAAACTACCATGCAGTCAGGGAGTTTTGTAAACCTAAATGCAAACATTAGAGTACAAATCTTCAACAGGAGCCATGCTAGAATCGTATTTCAGAAACTGGTATAACGTGTCATTGAACTTGCAGGTTTGCTTTTTTAAGAGGATGGTATATGAACAGATGAAACTTGGGTCATCAGGCATGCAAATTAGACAGCCAAAAGTGACTACTGACAATTCCTTAAAATTTCATTTTTTAAACTATAACCTTTTGTAAAGCTGTGAAGCTCCCATTCAAAGATAAAACCCTTGTTCCAACGGAAAACTTTGCAAAACAATAGAAACTGATTTGTCAAAAAAACCCCACAACCAACCAAAAAAATTTACAACTGTTAAAAGGAGTTTGTTTACTTTTGATGAAAGTCTGCAGAGCTTTGCGAGTTAGACTCCATCACAAGGCTGTCACATAAATAAACTTTGTCACCTTAGCCATCAACAGTCATCACATGATCCTAACACATAACAACAATTCCACATAATGGCAAAATATTATGGCTGTTTGTACTTCAGTAGTGTAGGTTCCCAGTGAAGGTTCTGAATGTGATTTACAGAGACTTTGAAATATGATGCTGAAATGTTTAAAATATAACAAGAATACTTACTCTGTCAAGAAAAAAAAAATCCATTTATTTTCTTAAATATAACCACATAGTTTTTAAAAAAATATCAACAACTAACAATAACTCGTATCTAAAGTCCCAATCAAATTGTTAGATTTGACAATTTATGCAACATGGGGCTATGTGTTAATATCATGTCTTTCCAAGAAAGCTGGAAGGGAAGAAAGTCTGAGGTCAAGTCTAGCTCATGGTGTTTTACTAATAGCATTTATATCACCATCCCAATTTTGATTATGCAATCACATCAAAACACAGGCAGAGCTGTCTGTCACCTATGTTTAAAGGTATGTTTCACAGATTTCCCCCCTTTGCTTTCTAAATTATATTAGAGTGGGAGGGATATAAAATGGGGAGACAATGTACAGACTTCAAGCATTTATTACAAGATTCTGTTGAGAAGCTATATCTGAAGAAAATGTAAAAGGTAGTACTTTGGACAAAGTATCACATGCCAGGTACCATGATTTTTTTTTATTTACTTGTGCTATTTGGTGAATAAACTATATTAACAGTTCATTTAAAATTTGTATACAATTCAAATACGTCTCACGAAAATGGGAATGACACCAGTTTTGTTAGGCGAGTCACAATATTATCAAAATACAAGCTTTATTGAGCAATAAGAACAGTCACACTTAGGCATATAAATAAAAACAGCGCAGTATGTTGCTTTCTCCTACACATATCAAAGATCAACACAAACGTGTACTAGTCTTTCTCATTTTCCCCTCGCAGCTGATGCAAAAGATACTGTGCCATGTTCTGATGGCCTGCTTGTAGCCAGAAAGAATAGAAGGTATCTGGTGTCCAAAGACCTGGAATGATTCCAAGGTCTCTTTGGTGTAAAATGTTGAATGTCTAATGCCTTACAAAACTCAAAATTATGAGCATACTATCTTCTTGCGGTTCCATATGAACCTCTTTTCACTCCTACTTTTACACTTGATACTTCTTTCTTTCCTTCTATCCTCTTGCACAGGTGGCTTCAATTCTCTCCAGAGCTCTGAGTTCAGAAAATGTGTCTTCTGTCATCACTGTTTTCCCCCTTGTGAACAGGATCGGTCTCTGCTCAAACATGGGCAAGCTTCCTAGGATACTCTAATCAAGGGAAATAAACAATAAAATAGCTGTTAAGAGTGTTGTAGAAAATAAAATTAATAGAAAGGTATTGGGAAGAGATTCTTAAAAATATGTATAGCATCACTTACTTCACACCAGCTCCCAAGAGGATGAATAAATTGCTTTCCAAAGCCTGCAGTTATAGAAGATGCAGGGAGTGGACTGTCAATATTCTCAGGCCAAAAAATATAGAAATGGGGCAAGAAACATTATTAAACATATTACAAGTGATGTTGGAAGACATACTGTTCATGACTGCATTAAAGAACTAAAGAAGACAATTGCTTAAAAAAATTCCTGATTGAACATTTTAATGAAGATTGTGCTAAAGGTAGAGAGCAAATGAATAAAGAAACACAAATTTCAATCCCAAACTCCAAAACTGGAGAAGGAAATATTTCTCCAACTAGCTCAGCAAATCAACTCAGTCAGCAAGCAACTATCACTGGTCCTTTCTATTCCAACATACAGCCACAGTGCGTAAATAAAATTTTGGACTCCAATTCCTGACCTAGAAAGCCAAAGAACAGAGTGGTTTGTATTTTGCTTTACACTTTTCTTCCTAAAATTCATATGGGAATATTGATGTTGGATTAGATGAAAGAAGTATTTGAAAATTTCTGAATATTTTCTTTGAATGCTAAATATTAGTTCCTGTATATTTTCTTCATTTGCATTCAGTCAAGGTTCTGTGCTAGATGCAGCTGTCTCTCTGCCCAAAACCAGCTTTAAGGAATGTTTTGTATCAGTTTGGGTGATTGTTTTATTTATGATTGTTGAGACATGTTAGTGTAGAACTGATATATTTCTGTTAGATTTGAATCTACCTCATAATCCCACTGTCCCCTACATATATAGGTCCCACTACCTCTTCCAGAGGCTGGAAAAAAAATGAGGGGGTAATTTTGTGACCTGTAAATAAAGACTATAAATAAAACAAAGCATGCATTAACATACACCTGCTTGAGATACTTTTCTTTTCTCAGTGACGTTTGCCTTCTATCTCTTTCAGGTCAGGTTCAGCTGGACTTCAAGAAGCTCCTGGTTTCCCACAAGGTCTGTACCCTTCTCAGTATACTCATTATGGGCATGCACTTCTGAAGCTTTTATTCCAAGTGTTACTGCAGTTCAGTGTCATTCACCAAGGGCTGTAATTCCACTGTATCATCCAACTCCAGCTAACAGCAGAGATGCAAGGTGTGCACGGGCATGCACAGGTGTGAAGAACAAATGAGGGACAAAGGTTTTCTGCTTCCCTTCTTCACTTTTTTGTATGAGACTGGCAGTTTCTCTACCTTCGCTCGTTGTTGATCAGTATTTTGCCCTCACTTTTGTCCCTACTTTACAATACCCCCAAAAACCTTTTGGTACAAAGACATTTTGTATTCATGCTTCTACAGTTCCTTCTCCACCAAAGCTTTGAGAAAATAAAGCTCTGATCATCTACAAGTTTCCCTTGTGACGTATCTGCACACTACAACAGCAAAGGCCAGCTACAGAGACATTTTTGAAACATGCTGCATACATTAAAATAACAGGGAGAAGGGGAGATAGTAGAGAAATGGTGCTACATGCAAACCTGTGCAACTTGACTTCTTCAAAAGCTTTATCTAAGGGACCCCTATTACAGTGACATGCAAATTAGAGGATCGTTGCTGATTAGGGCAACAGTGCTGGCACAGGCATGTCCTGGAGGGAACTCAAGGAAGCAAATTAAACTGGCTAGTCTAAACTGAGGATTACACTACTGTTCTTTCAAACTGGTTGTAGGCATACGAAAGGATATATCAAAAAAAATTCCAAAAGGAAAATTTCACAGTGCTCCAGGTACATTCTGGTCAATTTTACACAACAGGTAATTTAATAGAATTGGTTCAATCCAAGAAAAAGTGTCAAGTTTTGTTCAAAATAAACTATTAATGGATAACTCATCTTCTATGAAGTCAGACTTGAAACATTAATTGTATAATTTCGCAAGATGTTTTGCAGTCCATAAAGACTATACTCTTTTTTTATCATGCCTGGAATAGGTCATTCTAAAAATCCAGCATCTTCAACTTTGTTTGGTGACATAGCAGGAAACCTTCAAGAAATTATTTAATGAGCAATGACTAATTGGGCATTGGTGAGGAATAACTATATTCCAATAAAAAAAGTTCTGAAAATATGCATATAAATTTCACAACAACAAAGTATTATTATCTATCAGCAGTTGACTGTCAATACAATCAACACACACGCTCATCAACAAGAGTAGTCCCTCCACGTAAAATAAATTGAACAAATTCTTCAATAACTATTGTTTCCACCATTTCAAAGAAATGAAAATTAACATTAATACTGCTCACTGTATTTCATCTAAGCTTCTTTGAATGCTTTTGCAATTTATTTCTGATTTTAGGAGGATTTTCTGAGTTTTTTTGAGTTGCTCTTTCAAGGGCTCTTTTCAGTTCACAGTTAACAGTAATTAAAATCTTCATTTCAGAGATACAATTTTATCTGTCGTTTCAGGCAGATTCGTAGTGAACTTGTTGACTTGTGTTCAACAGATACTGTTTACTTCCACGATACAAACCTCTATACTTAAGATTGCCTACTGAGCACTGCCAGATTCACGAGAAACATTCCAGCTGAACAGCCATGCGTACTTTAAATCCTGTGTGATACATTCAGTTATTACACACATTCCCTCATGACAGTTCTTGGGCATGTCTTGTGAAAAACTTCAGTGACCTCACACTAACTTCAAAGGCATCTGATAGTTCCTGCAGAACAGTCCTCTCTCCTCTCCACAACCTCATTTGATGTATTACCTCAGGTTTCAAATAAGAATCATAACTTTCCAAGCTGTCCAAATATATAACCTTTTATTATATACTCCATTTCCAATACTGACCTGTAACAATAGCGGTATGTTCATCTCCACATGATATAAGTACAGGCTTGTCATTTTTGAACCAGAACTTGCTAGGAATATCGTCTGCAAATCTGCTTTTTCCAAATGTGAAAATAGCACCTGATTCTAAAACACAAAAAGATAATGTCAATTTTAGTGGAAAAAAATTTTGCCTCATACATTTTGAAACCGTAATTTTTTGTTAATTCAAATGCACATTTTAGTTTCCTATCTTTTTCGTTTTTTAAAAAAAAAAATGGCTGAAGCTTTTTAATCTGTTTCACTAAGACTACTTCATTCTCAGGCTCACATTTTAGTCTTTCTGATTCTTCTTGGCCTGCATGAATTTTCTAAAAGAATAGGTAATGTTGCTGGTATGTTGTGTTCTGAGGATAGAATAATTTATTTTAAAGTACACTAATGCACTTTATCACTACTCTCTAAGAAAAACTACTAGGTCTATAAAAGAAAGAAAAAAGAACTCTCAATAACTGCCCCCAGAAAGTAAAATTAAAAGCTCATCCTGAAAGCAGGTCGAGAGAAAGAGTTCTCACTTACGTTTATACTTGAATCAAACAGATTTTCCAAATTGGATTAGAGAGAGAGAGACATACACACTGTAAAGAGGTGACAGGCTCCAAACTGACCACTCTTCCTCACCCATCTGAAAAGATACACGTGCTCTAAAAATGGCCCCCTAAAATCAAAACTCTCAGACTTCAAAACATGGGTTGGCACAACCATCTTTGATCATAAGACCATGATCTAAAAAAACCCAAACAACACCAGCCCAAAATAAAGTCCAGCCAGCTCTTCTGCCCTTGTAATCCATCTAGTTTTCTCAATTCTTCCCGCTCTCAGAAGTGTCAGCAATGTTGTTTTGCAACACAGAATGTTAACTGTTCATTCACCTTTTGGTTAAGCATGTGGCTTGACACAGAAAATATTAATTCTACAGGAAAATAAATGAACTTACAAGTTAAATAATTTGCCCAAAGCCATGCAGACAATGTGGCAAAGCACAATTAGACTTCGTATTTTAAAATGCGAAACCTTCTACTTTAAGCACAGAATTATTTTCTTGGAAAAAACAACCAAAGAGAAAACCAAACCTTTTCCTTGCAGACTTTTTGTCAACATGTAAGCTATGATAACACAAATACACAGTTACACTAGACTGCTTCTGTAAAATTACATGTAATTTGATAGGAGCATTGAAACTTCTTGGCGTATTTACTTTCAATGAAAACAATCTCCTCAATCGTCTGCATCCCAGGTCCAAACCCCAAAGTTCTCTCTTAAACTGAAAATTTTATATTTATTTTGCAATGATTCCTTAATGTAAAAGTTTCCCATATTTGCAAATG